CCACTTTTTGATATCTTTCACAGAAAATGAGATATATAGGCTCAAAGTGGACGATCCGGGTGTCGTTCTATTAGAGGTTTTACGGTATTTTCTCTTGGAAAGCTTACATGACTGTAAAATATTTAGTTACAGAAGAAAAAATCCAAAGAAAACTGAAAATTGACTTTTTTGCTATTCTTATTAAGTCATCCTTAGATCAAATAACTTCTCTAAAACCTCTAATAGACGGGCTCCTTATTTTTGAGCCAATTATCTCATGTTCTGTGAAAGATATCAAAAAGTGGTCAACTAACAAAAATGCAACAGAATTGGAAAAAATAGCGTGGCAGTTGGCACTTTTTATATCGCTTAGGAATTGAAATAACTGGCAATGAGCTCAGCCTGACAGTGCGGGGCCCTTCTATTACAGTTTTGAAGGTAAACTTCATCAAAACTTAAGGAACCCTTATATTTCAGGATTCATGTTAGTGTCATATTCTTGATACAAGCTTTCGAATTTTTAACCTGGAAATCTCTTTCGATGTTCCCCATCAGCTTTCAAGCCTTTGACCATCCACTAATTTCCTCGGATGACGCAACATCCAAATCGTTCGTTCATTCTTTATCTCCCCCTTCCATGTAACCAGTTCTTTATGATTTTCTCAATGCATTTGCACTGATTCTGAAATTCCCCCCCCCCCCAAGACAAAATCTTGCAAAAGATAAGGAAAATATGAACACACACACATACAATGATTCTTTTGTTCTTCTCATTGAAGGGATTTTCTTTTGTTGTGTCTATTGGAAGTAAAAAGAATTGTTGTTGTTTTTCGACCCTGGAGCAGCATAATGTATCGTATTTGAGCACCTGGTACAGTTAGAGGCATATAAAATGTCAAGTTTTCAAATTGAATTCTGTCAAAATGATGTTAATATTCCTAATTTTGTGTGTTGGCCTAGTTGACTCTGTCGCTGAAGACTGCGCAACGAACACTCGAGAAACTAGATGTTCCAGTATTTTTGAAGACCTCAAAAACTGTTATAATGCCACTTTCAAAGCAATGCTTGGGGTTTTTAATACTTTTTTATTTTTCTAAAATAAGTTTTAAGGACTGCCTGGTAACCTGCAACGCTTGCGATTCATATACATGCTCCAACCCTCAACCCGACACCACTCTCAACTGCTCTGCACTAACTTCCCAGTGTGATTCAGACACTTTCGGCGAGTTTATGAAGGTTTCATTTGTAGATAAACTCCCTATCAAAAAATATTTTCCAGGAAAAATGCCCGGCGACTTGCGGGAAATGTAATCGAAAAAACGCCAACTTGTGCGCTGATAAAAGCAAATCTGAAGTTTGCACCACTATGGCGGTAATTCAAACTTCTTTCTGATGAAGCCATAATTTTTGTATTAACATCCCAGAAATTCTGCAACACCGTCGATTACTACGATTTACTGTCAAGAGAGTGTCCATCCACGTGTAACAGGTGTCCAAATAACGGAACAACTCCTGGGGGCAATGGAAACGGAAACGGAACAACAGGTTGGAATTTTTTCAGAAACTCAGGAAAATTCCGAAACCTTTTTTTAATTCCCTTTCAGCTTGTGTCGACGTTGCCAACGATTGCTCCACCAACACCGCCCGTTGCTCCGATTCCAAATACGCGCCTCTCATGCATCGTCTCTGCCCAAAAACCTGCGATTCGTGCTCGAATTGTGAGGACACGAATAAAATGTGCTCCGCATGGGTTCCTCACGGCTTCTGTACCAAGTACAGTCAACCAGTAATTATGAAGACGTGTGCGAGAAGTTGTGATCTTTGCAAATGACCTAATTTGAATAAATTTTATCTTTTTTGAAAACTGAGGTTTTAGTAGTAAGAAGAAGAATACACGTACTAGGTGAGACAAGAGAATGTAAAAAAGGACAAGATATTATAGCACAGACAGTTTTTAGGTAATCCCTAGCACTCGATAACATATTTGCCACGTGGCATTACGATCTGCTCGTAAGGGAGTTTGGCATGCTCGAGCATCTTTTTCGAAGCACGGAATGGCAATTCATCTCGGTCCTCCAGAAAATACACTTTTTTAACTCTCGATTGAATCAGCATTTGAGCACATTTGTTACATGGAAACAGGGTTACATAGACAGTGCAGTCGTGGAGTGTGGCACATCGCTGAAAAAAAGTTGGTGGAAGAATTTGCGAGATTTGAATTTCTAGTGGATGTGTGTTTGAGTGGCTTCTCAGTTTCGAAAAAGAAGTCTTATGTTTTTCAAATACTCACCCCGAAAATTTCAAATGCTTACCTTATTTATTATCGCATTCATTTCTGCATGCACCACATACAAGTGTTTATTATCCTCTGGATCCTCCTTATCCCATCGAAAAACGTCGTCATCCACACCGATCGGGAATCCATTGTATCCAACTGACACGATGCAATTCTCTTTGTCCACAATCACACATCCCACTTGGGTATTCGGGTCCTTACTCCGAAGCGACGTCACTTTTGCCATTCGAAGAAATCGTTGATGCTTTTCTAGCTGATTTTCAGCCTTCCGCGCATCCTCATCGATTAATTGTTGATTTGTGCTTGAATTCGGGTTGATATACAGTTTTTCTAGCCGATTTTCTAGTTGAAGATGTTGGGGGAGGTCGGAAATTTCAGAAATTTCATTTGTGGGAGGTGACATTTGTGTGAAAAAGTGCTAAAGATTGCTGGGATTCGAAACTCGAGCGCTAATCAATTTTCGTCTGGTTTACGGTCGACAAATGTGTGTAACTGCGCGTTGTGGTGTTTGCACTTATTGACTCAAAGCGCGCGCGCACACTTCGTCATCTTTTCATCTTTCGCCTCGCATCTTTTCTTCAGTTTCTCTCGTTTTTCGCAATGTTTCGCAAGGTTCTCGCTGTCTGGAGACGCGCTTTGAGGAGATAATCGATGTCTTCTCCCTCCACTTGCCTTACTTTTTTTTCGCTTGGCTTCGTTTTTCTCTGCGAGCGGAGCCGGGTGCATTTTTAAAACCAATTCTGCTAGAAAAATCTCAAGTTACACTTCTCTATCGTTTCGCAATCAGTTGCTACCCTTTCGATTTCAATTCGAAAACGCTTTTGTTTCCAGAAAACTGAATTCATCAACAATGACAAGTGTGGACGAGGATCTTCTTCTCAACGACCCGGTGACAACAGAATTCGACCATTCGGGGGTAGGCCCATATTTAAAATTCAAATTTTCAACTATTTTTTTTTCAGACGATCGATGAGGATCTCCTTCTGGGCGCCGGCGACATCATCATCCGCAAGGAGACTCACGACTCCATCGACGACGCGGCGCTGCTTTTGGACTCTGTTGAGCCTGCTTCGGAACAAGATCCCGAGCGAGCTCCAGAGAATAATGATGGTGAACAAGTAAGTGTACCTCCTCGCGATTTGTTTTCTCTTTTGCCCCAGATATTCTATTTTCATCACCCAAATAAGGTCTGATTTGTGCAGACTGTATATTTGAAAGTTCTGTTGTGTAAACCTGTATATTTCACTGAATGTAATCTGTTTTCATTCTTCCTTCTCCTACTCTTTCTATCTCGCCTATCTGATCTGCCTAACCCCACAATCCTTTTTTTCGTTTTTTTTTCTTTTCGTTGAATTTCAAAATTTTCGAATTATTGCTGCTGCCTCGGGTTTTTCTCCCCGAGTGATTTTCCGTCCCCATTAGTTTCCCCGCCCAGTCCCACTCATTCAATTCAATTTTACTTTCAAAATCCCTTTTCCTGACCCCAATTTGACTCGATCCCCCTACCAGAGACAGACACAGACAAGAGCATATCGACTACTACTACTACGGGACGAACACCGTGTTTTTTCTTTTAAATTTTCCATTTTCGATATAATAATTGTCTCAATAATTCGGTGCTTGATATGATATATGTACACTGTTTTGTGAGCCGGGTTTAATGATGGAATTGTGATTTATCGGCGGATGATAAATGTATCTTTATGTCACACAGATAAAGTCGATAAATTTTGTGATATTCAATTAGAAAAAGAAACGTTCAGAACAAAAGTTTGAAACAGGTAAGGCGAGCAGCTGCTGTGATGTGAGGAGTGTTGATGGAAAAGGAAACGAAGGAGATGATATTAAACCTTACTAATCAAAGAAGAGGAAAATAACTACCGTAAAACCTCTAATAGAACGACACCCGGAACGTCCACTTTGAGGTTATCAGTCACACGTCGGTAGCTTGGAAAGTGTCGCCTTTATAAACCTCTCCATTCTCACGTTTGCGTCGGTCCGGATTCAAAGTTGACACAGTCACATCGACACTACTTGACCGGTGTTTTGTGGAAATTTTAGCAAGTTCTCCAGAAATCATTGGTTCATAAGTTGGGGGCAGGTCGAAAACCCGGCAATATGCTCAAAACTGTGTCACTTATTTTTAAAATTTCGTTCTTTGTCTTCATTAAATCACAACGACGCAACACAAAAGCATCTTTGCGTTTCATTATCGGCCAACTTGTCCAAAGTTT